GGGGGGGGGGGTGGCTCAGAGCTGCCGCCGCTGGGAGCGGAACCCCGTGCCCGGGCAAAACTCGGTCATGTTTGCAGCACTACGTCCCAAGGAAGCAAATGGCATGCGACAAGTATTCAATTACAGTTTATAGCTAAGAAAAAAAAAGACAAAATAAACATCTCCTCTGCATGAAGGGCTCTCTTCGGGTCTCGGGAATGGTAAATTGAGCGGGATGATGAGTGTTGCCTTCCTGGTGTTAGGCGCACCAAAACCTGAACCCAACGCTGAGCTCTTTGGGAGTCGGTTTGATGGCAGAGGATGGAGGAGTTGCCAATCCACACTCATCCCGCGTCCCCTTGCCTTTGCAGATGCAGCCTCGGTGCGTTCTATCTCTTGCTACTCATAACACCCATCATACGCACCCAAACGGCGTCTCATCTCACGCGTCCGACTCTTTGGGCATCGTGTGCCACGGCCCATATGGGCCTCGTTTGGAACCCCTCCGAATCGCAGGGGGCCATGTGCAACTGATAAAGGCCAATTTGGGGTGAACGGAGGTGGGGGGGCAGGGGGGCACCGCTCTCCAGGCAAATCCAAGAAGGACGCCCTATATGTTTTCTAAGTGCTAAACCCAAGGGAAATTACTTCATCAAAACCCGATCCAGACCACAGTAATGAAGGCTGTGATGTAGCCAGTGTTCGAGCATGTTGACTTTACAGTACTGGAATTAATCCATCTGCATTGCAGCTCGGTGAAATCATTTCCAGCCCGTAGCAGCTCCGGGGCTGACTTCATCCTTGCAGACCCAGATGCAGAGCCCTCGGAGTCGGGAGAATTACGGAGAGGACCGAAAGGCTGCTCTCCCCTCGCACGGTGAAGGCTGTCTGTCTTCGTGGTGCGGGGGGACGGCAAATTCGCCTTAGGGACAGTTGGGACCCCCCAGCTCCACGAGGCTTTTCGGTGGCCGTGCGTGGCGTTACGCTCATCCGCTCCCATCGCCGTGCTTCCCGCAGGGCTGGAGACGGGGATTTGCTGCTTTGCTCTCCCTCGATGAGATTATTCAGTTTTAACCCCCATAAAAATCCCCGGTAATCTTACCGTGACCACGGGTTATTCAGGGTGCAAATTCAGGCCGATGCTATCGGCCGTATCTGGTGCTTCCTTGGAAAGGTGCTGTGCAAGCGCGGGGGCTTTCCCCGCTGCAATAAGTCCCAGCTGCCGTCATCGCGGCAACCTTTTCATCTTTTAAAGACAGGCGCTCTGGATATTTCTGTGCTATTTGCACCAAAAAGAGATGCACGCGATGGGATGCCCGGGCTGCAAGTGCCCTCCCGGGAGCTCATCCCAGCTCACAGAGCACCTCTCCGGGCCATGCGCTCAGAGGAGCTGGGAAAAGCAGAAATCCCTCCAGGTCTGCCCATGCAATCCACTGCCCACCCCCCTTTCACTTCCCTTTCCTTCGTCCCGTACTTTTTTTCATTCATATTTTCTCAGTAAAAATGCAATCGCCTTTTTCTTGGTAGTGGCTACAGAGCCCGAGGGCCTTTGCTTTCCAGGAATACCAGGAGCTTCTGCAAAGGGAACACCACCACAGCCCCCCTGATTTTGGTTTCTTCAATCAAATAAAACTGAAACTCGGTGGGGACCGATT